GGTATTTAGATCAATTATTTGTATTCTTTACTCAAAGACTTATTTTTCAGACTGAAAGCCCAGGGTGAAAAATTTTCTTATACCACAACAAGGTGTGATCATTTCTGAGAAATTTTTATTATTGACAGAAGTGTTGGGGAACTGTAGCTTTGCTGAACTTGTAAATCCATCCTCCACTCTTTGTAAGCTTCCATTCAGTGCTAGACTTTAAGGTTAAAATTAAAAAACATTGTTTATCTCATATTCTGTTTTATGGCCAGCCCTGATACAGTGAGTTGCCTTTTAAAAAGTTTGTCTTCTTGCTTACTGGTCTCTTAGTGACAAATGCATGTAGTTAAGGGCTTGCAGTTTCATAAATCAGGCTGGCATGTAGTCTTGGCACACCTTCCTGTGCTTGGGATCCAAATTTTGAAAGAAAACTAAAAGCAAATTATTTTGTATGAAATAATGAGCTGGGGAAGGTGTACATCTACTAAGAGGATGGTTACTGAATTAGTTCTCAAGGAATAACCTTGAGTGCAGCTCCTCAGTAAAGAGGTGTTTTCCATGTGTAAGTTCCTGGACCAAATTTGGGGTTGTCAGGTCTTTGACCAGCTTTCTGAAGCTTCAGCTTACATTCCTGCTTCAGAAGTACCACAGGGCAAGACAAGGAGCTGTTGGGGAGTGGGACTTGCAGACAAGTAATTCAAAAAATATTTGTGTTTGTTCAGGTTCCTAAAAAGCTGAAGGAAATAATCTTCTGTTCTGCTATGACAGTGGTTTGTCATGAGTTCCAAAACACTTCACTAGAGTTTTATACTCCATTAGTTTGTGTGTGGTGTGGGTCCACTCTTTGCTTCTTGTGCGTTCTTACCTGGTTATTTGCTTGTTGAATGTGCTGGAAGAAAGGCCGTCATGAACAAGGTTCAAGGATTTGCAAAACTTGGTCATTTTTGGAATCCAAATCCTCAAGGGATAAAAGAATAAGAGGCTTCAATTTACTGCATGGTGCCTTGTACAAATTGAGCATCTAGAGAACAAACTGACTATAGAGTTACTGTGTTTTGTTGCAGTTTAGCTAAACTGCTGTTTATGCTAGAAGCTATTAAAATATAATTTACTTGCTTACTTTGTTGTGTCAAATCTATGCAATGAAGTGAGGTGGATGTTTTTATTTGCAATCTATTGCTTGAAGACAGATCAGCAGAGTATTGAATTCATCTGAGTCTTGTGCTCTTTAAGCTTTACTAAATCAACTTCTAATGTGCAAGCTGAAATATTTCTCAGGAAATGAGTTTGGCCCACAATTTATAGTACATGCTAACCATAGTAAAGTATTATGTGCAGCACATCCTAGAATATAAAGCATTTTCAGGTTATACTATTATACATTAGAATCTCGTATTGTAAAATAATGGTTTGGTGTTGAGAAGAAAAATGCAGTAACAGTTTTTTACAGTAAGTTAATATGTTTTGGGTCCTTTGGGTTAGAGTTAGGTATCAAGCCCATATTGCCATTTGCTGAAGAATGATTTAATAATAAGGCATAAGAGAGGTCAATTTTGAAATAAAAGAAATTGTCCCAAGGTTTATCTTTAATCATATTGGAAAAAACTGAAATAAGTTTTCACTTTTTTAAAACCATTTACTCTTTTCAGAAAAAGACTCTATTGAAGTCTTCTCTGAAATACCTTAAAGTTCTTTTGATTTTTAGCTTTACAGCATTTTGTATCAGACCAAAAAATTACCAGTTGGAAAGTACGTTTCCACTGGTAATTGTGTTTACTTGATATCTAGGTTGTGCTACATGGAAATAGATTTTGTGCATTCAGTAGAGTCATGTTGGGTGATTTAAGTAAAGGTGTTATTTGTGTCACTCTTTCTGTCTCTTTGTGTGGAATCTCATGAGCTTTATTAATCATGTTCTAGCTTCTCTTATACTGTCTATGATAGAAATAGACACCATCATTTTAACATGCCTAATAAGATTGGGTTTGAGACTCCTGAGATTTGGGTTCTGCTCTTTATTCTCCCACAGATTTTCGATTTGATTCTGGCTAAATAATTTGATCTGGCTTAGTATTTAAAAATACATACAAGTAAGCAAGTAACGTTAACTTGTAATCATGCAGTGGCGGTGCAAAGTACTTCAATCAAGATTTCTTTGATGTTACACCATATATGCCAATACCTGCATCTTTTATGCTGAACTCTTTTCCTAAATAAATTAAAGATACGTTATTTGGTTGTGTGTTTGGTTTTTTTTTCTTCATGAGAGAACAGTGTCAGAAGATCAGATTTCTTGCTTTATAACTTAAAAATCAGATTCTTTTTTTTAAGTAAAACTTTAAGCTAACAGTACTTTGGTTCTTGAAAAACATTGTATCTGTCCTGGTTAGAATCGTTTTTGCCTTCAGATAGTGTTTAAGGTTTCTTGGGTTTTTATTAATCTCCCAAATACCTGGCTACTTTTTATAGTTAATGTTGTGCCTCTGCACTATCTGGCAATGATTGCTTAGCTGTTTTTTGTCACAGGACTTAGGAGCTTATGATTTATGGACTTGGGTAAAACACATCTATGAGTAAAAAGCCAGTATAAAACCTACATAAAATTTGAATCTTAAATAAACCATATCTTTTCGCTATCATACATTGTCATTCACATTAGGAGTCTTTATCCCATGTAAGGGCATGATATACTTGTAGATTAGCATCTCTTTCAAAATTTTTGAATAGATGAGTATATATTGTGTAGTTCTATTGATTCGTCCAAGATTTCACAAATATTCATTAAAATGAAAGAAAGCAAGTACAATATACAAACAAATCTTGAATCATAATTATCTAACAGACCAGCAAAAATCTGTTACCATAGAGAAATTGCTTCTTATAAAAATAGAAATATTTGGGGGGGGAAATGTTGGCCACTTTGTGGTTGCTTACTTTCGAATGCCAACTAGAAGTGGCTGTTAGTGAATGTGATTGTACTAGGTGTGCTTTACTTGTAATTTCTATTATTTTTATCCCAGTTCTGCTTTACCATATGGAAGAAATGCATCTTTTGTAATGCAGATTGGAAAGAATCATGGAAATGAGGAAATTCAAAAAATGTTAACAGCAATTTTTGTTGAAATGAAATGTGAAATATATATATATATTGTGAGGTCATGGAAGGATGTTTGAGGTAAAAAAAAAGTTTGTTAAAATGTGTAATGTATCAGGATTATGCTGTTTGTGGGCTTTTTTTTTATTAATCTGATTCTTCCACTTACAGCTTAAATGGAAAAATTGGATTTGCCTTTGGCTTTAATTCAGTCTGTTCTATTCACAGAAAGGTTCACTTGCATGTTATGTTACTCCATTAAAACCATTTCACAAATAGTGCCAGCCAGAATTAATAACAGCTAAGTCTAGCATTTTCAAAGAAATGGAAAAAAAGAAAGGGAGAATAACTCTTTTTTCTTGTGCATCAGCATTTTCTATTAAAAAAGAAATAATCGGGGCAATTGTGTATTTAGTGTCAAAATTGTTGTTGGCTGAGCAACTTACTTTTCCAAATGTTTTTGGCCCTCATAATGCTACTGTGGCCCATCTCTGTAGCAGCTCATTCTAGTTCACCTGGATTTATTTATTTATTTGCTTGCTTGGGAAAAATGATCCTGTCTGTAGTGAAATATCTGTTTCCCCTTCAAATCTATGTTATCTGATGAAATTAAAATAAAAGCTTTTTAAGAAGTCCATTATAATATCTCAGAAAGACTTAAGACTCAAACTGAAATCTGTCCTCTGCAGGCAAGCAGATTAGCAAGGCTAATGGTGGGTGGATGGGCATACTACCTTTCTTTTTTGCCAAGACCCTGCTGGTCATGTTTCTTCCTCTCCATATGTTGCCGTGTTTTTATAAGCACTGTAGTGATGTTTGGGGCTTCAGCTGACTGCAGGCTGTCATTGTCAGGAGTGCTATACATATACTGAGCAACAGTCTTGCTCTTGACGGGTTTAAAATAGGCAAAGGGATTGAAAACTGTGAGAAATCATGTGTTGTTCCCACCTTACAGGTAGGGAATTTATCCACCAAGAGCACAGTATCTCTCACAATCATGGAGTCTGAGGAAAAGCCAACCAACCATCAGAGCAAAGCTTCCCGTAATCTGTGTAGTACCACAGTCGTAAGGCCAGTCTTGTAGTGGAACCAAGCTCTCCCTAGCTTCATTTTTGTATTCAAACTTTCCAAACATTTTGTATCTTTTTGCAAAATCTACAGGGCCTGGTAGTTCGTGCAATAGGAATATTGTTATTGTGGCTCTAGGGATGGTTTTGTTTGAACAGTAGCCAGTTTCTTGAAAAGAGCTATGATTTTGTGTGCCCAGCTGTATATTTTAAGCCCAGTGACCAACTGGGCACTAAACCCATCAAAATGCTTGTCTCTAAACAGCATAAAAATCATAATTATTGGTGATAACCAATTTGAGGATTTCCAGAAATCTTTCTGGTAAAGAAGCATTAGTAATTTCTTTAGTAGCAAGGTAAACCAGTGTTTTTTTGATTTAGGTAGTATTGATACATGCTGTCTGTAGAAATGAGTGTTTGGATACACCTTATAGTGATGTCATTTGTGTCTTGAACGAACACAGGCATAATCATGAATTCTAATTAATTTTCTCTCTCTGTAAACAAATAAGCTGGAGAATCCAGTTTTGCTGATACAAAGCTTATTATTCAGGGTTAATGAGAAAATGACGATTAAAAAAATTCAAAAGCATGGTTGTCTTATCAGCTGATGCAGTTTTCCCTGTCTTTGTAAGCCATTAGGAACTGATATTGTAAGAAGGATATACACAAATTCTAAAGATCTTTAAGGGTAGAAGATAGTTTATGGCTGGAGGTAAATAGGGAGGCTCAGGTGATTGCCAGCTCTTAAGTTAAGCTGGACTCCCTTCATTGCTCTCTGAAGATCTGTGTGTGTGTGTGTGTGTGTGTGCACGTGGTTAGGTATGTGTATGTGCTCTGAGGTTAAAGCAGATGTTGCCTTTAATATGTGTCACAGCTACAGCAGTTACTTTATCTTCCAATATTTCAACAAATGAGAGTAACTGTGCAGGTTTTGCACATGATGAGTATGTGTAATGCATACATCTTAAATTTTCCTTTCATTGAAAGAATCTTAAGATTCTTTTTAAGTTGCGTTTTAAATACTGTTCACTTTTCTGCACACCAAAAGCATGTCTTTAGGTACTTTTTCTCAGCTGGCTTACAGAGAAAGTTTTTTTATTAGTCTGGTCTTCTAAGTCCATTTTTAAATGGACCTTAAGCTCCGAATGTAACTAAATGTAATTTAAGTTATTTACCCCATCTCCTTTTATTCAAATCAGAGTTTAAAAAATAATGAAAACGTTAGTAATAAAATGAAGTTTGGTGGGTTTTTTTCTTAATGAAAGAGCAATAGTAAGTTCTGTTTCCTTTTGTGCGTCACCCTGACCTCTGACTATAATATGCTTGCTTTATTTGGCGTGAGTGTCCTCATATAATAGTCTGTATTTCATACAGCAAAGTAATGGTTGTCTACTAAGTACTAGTGGATTAACTGTGTCTCATAACTAATTCAACAATGTTGAATCAATTTCTCTTTGTTTCAGGTGACCAGACTTTAAGAGTTTGGGATGTGAAAGCCCCAGGAGTCAAACTTGTGATACCGGCCCACCAGGCTGAGATCTTGAGCTGTGACTGGTGCAAATATGATGAGGTATAAACCTGTTCATCCAACTGCTTTCCTGATTGAACTACTCTTACTAAATAGTGTGGGGGTTTTTTTACTGCAACATTAATGCATCTTCTCTTTATAAAAACATGTCTAGTTGCTTTGTTGCTCTCATTCACTACTACATCTTCAGAAGAGTGTTGTTCCAACAGACAGACGGCCCAAGTAGATCAGAGGTTTTGCTTATTCTTTTGTATAGTGGACAGAGTAGTCCACAGTGGAGAAACAGTTTGTATTCCTCTGCTCTCTTAAATGAGGTCTCCAGTGTGTAAATTAATGATTTATTCATCTGTATTGTTATCTAACTTTTGTAAACAACACATGCCTCACTGCAATTTAATAATTAAATTTTCCTGGTATATCTGTGTTTCATCAAATCATCAGAACTTGCTGGTAACTGGTGCGGTTGACTGTAGCTTGAAAGGCTGGGATTTGCGGAACATCCGGCAACCGGTGTTTGTCTTGCTTGGTCATACCTATGCTATCAGAAGAGTAAAAGTAAGTTGTGTTTTATTCCCCATCTCCACTGAATTGTTACCCAATTTTTTCTAGAAAGCAGTAATATTTTATATTACCTAATAACTAGGAAAAAAACAACCGGTGTTGAAGAACTTAGATGCTACAGTTACTATTCTTGAAAGCCTTAATTTTAGCACTGTAAAACATTTTGATGTTCAGCAGATTGCTAGGATTTCAAAGTGAATGATGTATTCGAAGTCAGTGTATTTCCATGAGGAATGTTTGAGAGCTTGAGAGAGGGTTGAGAGGTTTACTTCAGCTAAGTTATATGGGAAATTTGAGACAGAGAAAATGCCTTCCCTTATTTGTTTGTTTTTTTGTTTTGTTTTTTTTTTAATGGTGCTGTGCCTTTTTCTTTCTATACAAAGGGTCAATATTCACATAAGGCAAGGTATAGACTTGTTGTGAATAGTATTTTTTGTGTATACAAAGAAAATGTTAATATGTTCAAAGACATTTTGAACCTTTATGCGTGAAAGGCTACAGATGACTATACGGGGTCTGTGTACTACTAGATCACCCACTGATAGGAATTTGTTCTAGATATCTGATGACCTTTTTTTTTCATATTGGTCAGTGCTTTTTTTTTTTTTTTTTTTAATATTAGTCAGATAATACCTGATCCTTTTAAAGCCTTTCAGGAACAAGTATGTTTATTAATATTTTATAGAAAGTCTGAATTGACAGAAAAAAATAATCCTGGATCAGTATTTTGCTTCACATGCCCTTGGAATTTTTGACGTGTTTCTAACAACTTTAAAAGTTACTGTGTTTAGGTTGTAATTTGTCAGAAAAGGTTGTGACTCAGGGAGTGGTTCTATATCATAAATCCTGTTTGTGGCCAGACAGCCTGAGAAGGTCCTGCTCCTCCTTATCCCAGCTACCATTGCCTGCTATCCCTGCTGCTGGTAGCTGTACAGTCTTTTTTTCTAATTTAATTCCTGTATGACCATGCACTAATCTGGCTCTGTGAAATGTTTTTCATAGCAGAAGAACATTTAGCAGTGCTGTTCAAGTTTGTTTGTTTGTTCTTGTTTTTTAAACAAGATCATTTTGCAACTCCAATTTGACAGCCATTAAGATAGATGAATCAATACAGTATCAATCAATACAGACTGTCATATTCTTACTCTTTGACAGTGGGATCTTTTAAAAAAGCTCTGCCACTATGGGGTTCATAGCACATTGTCTTCATGATAAAATGGAGAAAGTGAATACAGAATTGTTATTCACCATAACCTGTGATAATAGAACTAAAGGACACTTGATGAAACTAGTTGAAGATGAGTTTACAGACAGATGGAAGTATCTCTTTTACACATTAGATGGTAGACTTCTTGAACTAGTTCTCTGTGCAAGACGTTGCATAGGCAGGCAGTGTCATCAGGTTCATGGATAGCAACCTGTCAATAAACAGATACCAGAAGAGCTAGACAAGGATAGCATCTCTAATTCCTCCACTCTCTATTATCCTGGGCTGCATTAGGAATAGCGTTGCCAGCAGGTTGTTTGAAGTGATCCTTCCCTGCTACTCACTGCACCAGTGAGACCACATGTGGAGTGCTGGATCCAGTTCTGGGCTTCCTAATACAAGGGAGACATGGACATACTAGAGTAAAGCCAGAAAAGGGCCACAAAGAAGATTAAGAGACTGGAGCCTGTGTGCTACCAGGAGAGGCTGAGAGAGCTGGGATTTGTTTAGTGTGGAGAAGAGAAGGCTTAGGGAGGATCTAGTCACTGTGTATGAATAACTGAAGGAAATAGAAAAGACAAAGCCTGGCTCTTCTCAGTGGTATCTACTGAGAGGACCAGAGGCTTTTGGTAGAAATTAAAATGCAGAAGTTGTCATGTAAACATAGAGCACTGGGCTGGAAGCCTGACCAGGTAGGGTATCTTTCATATTCTTACACCATCTCATCTGAGTTTCCATTTTATGGCCCATCATGGTCCCTGTTTTCTTAAAATGCCTTGAAAAGGTTATTACGAGTGGGCCAGCAGTAGAACTTTCTTCGCACACACCTGTGAGATCAGTTCACTAAGTGGCTTTAAGGAGACACTTTAAGGGGAAGCTGTATATGCATACATGTGCAAAGGACAGGTATGTGAGTACACGACTGATGTTCCATATTAGCAGGCTTTTATAGCTTCCATTTCAAGATAGACACAGTCCCTGTAGACATAAGATATGAGAATGTGGGCCAGCACTTAGAGGTGGTGCAGCATATCTATGCTTGTGTGGTATAACTCACCAGTCATACTAAATGGAGAGAGAGAAGAGGATGCTACATAAATAGAGGCAGCTGTCCCTACTGATGTCCCTTCCCCTACATTGTGCTGACACTAGCAATTATAAAGCTGTGCAGCAAGCGGGCTCAGCTGATTGCTCTGACTGAAAATCCTGTCCTGAAAAGTGACCAGTTTCTGTCTGGATCACTAAGCTGTCTCAGTTTGTTGTTCAATCACACAATTGCAAGCCCTGACACAAAGAAGCGGGCATGTGCACACAGCCTGAAGTGGAAAGGGAAGGGAAGGCCACGAGTCTTGGCAACAGTGCACTCTTAAATTAACTTAAACCAACCATGAAATCTCACTCTTCAGTTCTCTTTGTATTCTGTTCACTTATTCAGGATTGTGTTGACTCTCAGATCTGAGGCTGGCAAGGAATTCTATCCAACACAATATTGTCAGAATTCCTGCAGATTTCTTGTGATCTTTTACTGCAGTTCAGGGCATTATCAGCACGCTGAGGTCATCTGGAGCTGTGTTCATGGGATTTTGACATTAGTGCGTTTGGCTGTCTCATATTCTTAGCTGGCTTCAATCTCTTATACTGAAATGTAGTTATGGTTTTTGAGTTTACCTAAAAAGATGTTTGGATGAATGATATGTGAAATATTGGAGGTTAGGCTGGATGATATGTTGGTCTCTTCTGTCTGTATACAACTGTTCAGATGATAAAATTGTAATATTTTTATATTACAGTTAAGTGGAACAGAATTTTAAAATATTCTGTTCTCTTTGTAGCAGAAAGACATTACACAAATTCTTTCAACTTACATGTGTAGTGCTCTGCTAAGTATTTTGATAGAGTTTTCTTAGGTAAGTTTCTAGGATACTTAAGGTTAATGACAAAGCTTTTCAGCTTTGACAAGATGTTTTTTCTTCCTCTGAAACTATGTGGACAAAGATGCAAAGGGGACACGTGGGAAGTGCACCATTGTTTTTTGCTGCCCATCAGACTTCTTCCCCTTTATTATTTATATTCCTGTGGTGCAGAAGAAAAAGATGTTTTGTTGTGATTTTTTTTTTTTCCCTGCAGAAAAATTATAGGAGATTTGGGGAGGTTAATGTTCAAGCATGCACATCCCTCAATTCTGCTACGGTAAAGAGAACTCTGTCAGCAGAGTTCAGAAGGCAACAACATATACTGCTGTCTTGGCAACTTGGATATTTGTGGCTGTAGCCCAGGCTTAACTTTTGACTTTGTAGTAGCCGTGAATAATACTGGAAGTCTTGCAGGAAGACTCTTACCTGTGAACCATGATGTGGGGGACCTGCACGTCAAACTGAAGTTATGTCAATATCTTGTGTATTTTCTGTTGAGAAATACAGACCTTAAAATAGTTGGAAACTGAGGGTTTCCAAAAAGCTGGAGCTGAGGTGAACAAATTTCGCCTAACTTCATCCTTATTGCTGCAGTCCTTAGACCTGTCTGCAAGAGTCCGTAGAAGAGTGTGTCCCGTAAAATGCCCTGCAGGAGAGGGGGAAATTACAAAATGACGTTATACTGCCCTTGGTTTTTCAACTTACCTCCAATTTTCCTATTTCTGTAAATAATTTCAACACATTGAATTGATGACAGTAATATATCTTACATTCTCTGCACTATGGCACAAATTTTCTCTCTCCTAAAATAATAAACTGGTCACATAGCTTTTCTAAAACTTGCTTTATATAATGAGATGGTACTCAGCTTGTTAGCCAAAAGCAGGATTTAATCACTTTTTATATGACTTTCCTAAAACTTCTTAACTTTACAGCAGGGTTGTTTGCCACTGCTGTAACGAAATCAAACCAAACCGGGATCCCATAGAGCATCCTTGTAAATAGAAGCACGGCAGGGAAATTTGTTGATGTAGTCTATTTTGTTGCAGCATGATGTGCTACCTAGGAAGACAGTTTAAATGGTTAAACTTTGGTAACTTTCTGCTTATAGGTCTGTATACTTCACAATGTTTTTACTTTAAAATTTGTTCTGTTTTGTTTTCTTGCAGTTTTCACCATTCCATGCAACCTTATTGGCCTCTTGCTCCTATGATTTTACTGTGAGGTACAGTATTTTTTTATTGGATAAAAGTGGAAAGATAATCCATTTTAATGTGGTTTGCAATGGAAAACAGTTTTAGAGTGGACATACTGAAGTGCAGTTGATGTTGCTATGGAATGTTTTCTCTCTTCATAAGCTGTGTTGAATACGTCTGGGTTCTTCACTTTCAGGCTAGCTCAGTCACTCTTCTGAATGGTATCTGCTCTGACAGATGTTTTCTGTAATCCTTTTCACATCATTCTGCTGAACGTAGTTGTGTGTCTGGATGTGATAGTGTCTGATAAGAAGGTAATAACTTCTTAAATGAATGCGGGTGGGTGACTTCGTATGTTTTTGTGACATATTTTATTTAAGCTTTTTATGAACAAAGTTTTTGTCCTACTATTATCTGAGGAAGCTTCAGTATTCTTCCACAGTGTGTATGCTGAAGTTCTTTAGACAGTACTTCTGCAAGTTCCCATGGCTCTCCAGTATATCTGATACTGCTGAGGATTTTATAGTGCAGCTGATTCAAAGCTGATTAAAAGTCCTAAAGAAGTTTGACTTCGTCCACCTCCCATCCCTGGAGGTGTTCAAGGCCAGGCTAGACGTGGCCTTGGGCAACCTGGTCTAGTCGGAGGTGTCCCTGCCCATGGCAGGGAGGTTGGAACTCGATGATCTTTAAGGTCCTTTCCAACCTAAACCATTCTATGATTCTATGATTCATATTAGAACTTCTCTAATATACACGGCGTTCTAAGTCAATATGCTATGAAGTAGATTCCTGAATATTTCAATCACATTGTTTGATCTACATTTTAATTTTATAACATGGACTGAATATAGCAGGCATTACATTTACAAATGGGCGAAGCTCTCTTGCCTCCACAAGTGAATGCAAGGTTATCCCACTTGCCCAAACCATCCCAATTAATGTCACTTCTGGTTGTATCCGAAGTGGCCTGACACCAAATACAGAAAGGTTCTGTTTCCTAAGGGAAACCTTGCTAACCCTCAGTGCCTGTGCCTGTTTCTAAATCATAAATCTGTATATTCTTATGCCATAACGTCACATAAAGTTGCATCATTAAGTTAGCGTGCTAAGCATTGTAGGAATTTTGTGTGTTTTCAGAAATCTTACTGGAAGAGTAGTATAGCTGGAATACTCTTGTTTTCATCCAAGCTCTTGTTTGCAGCTCCCAGAACACAGCTAACAGAAACATGCAGGGGTGCAAAGGGGCTCCAAATTCTGCTATAGATGGTGTGGGACTGCTTGAGACTGTACAGTGACAATGGTGATGTTCCAGAGGGAGACAGTTGCTGGAGCAGTTGTCCTTGGCACATGTGAGTCTTCAGCTTTGATGGCGCTAGAGAGGATGTTGCCTTCCAGGTCTTAGGCTGCAGGGAGTGCCTCGTGCCTCTTCCTGGGGTGGCGGTGATGGCGGCCTCACCAGTGGGAGATGTGTTCTCTTTGAGGTACTGAGGTGAAGGAGCTGAAGGAGATAAGCAGACTGCATACCATCAAGGATAGTGAATGCAAGATTGACAGGGTTTTCACAGATACCTTTCAGAGGTGAGAGCCCAAATCCCACAGTGCAAGAAAGGAGGGACAGTTACAGACTATGCTTCAAGCAGCAGGGGATAAGGATAAAGATTCCCATAATGGGGGAGGCTGGAAACTTGTGACTTGTGGTAACACAAGTTGGAGCTAGGGAACAGATTTAGTGCCCTGGAAATGCGTGAGCAAGAACAAGCTCAGTCTGGGGAGGTGTCAGAGTCAGCTGAGCCTGAATCAAGTGTCTGCACCAAAAGAAAAATGTACATCATCACTGGAGACTGCCTCCTGTTGCATTGCCTCTTGAAGCATCCATCTGCCAACCCAACTTGATGTCTTGGAAGGTTTTGTTGCCTCCCTTGGTCTGAGGCCAGGAGGCTGTGGAGAGACTGCTGGGGTTTGTCCAGATTCGGAACACTGCCTTTTCCCACTTACCTCATGTTACTGAAAGCA